CTCATTTCCTACTCTGGTAGTGTCCGTGTGTCTAAAGTGATTATCTGGCAATGTGGTGTTATTACTGTCCTCTGGGTGGTGTTGGTGTTACTAAGTGTCTGTGATAGGGCTGGTATCGCAGGGGTGGTGTTAGTATCTCTGTGGTAACGCTGGTATGGCTAGGATAGTGTTGGTTTATCTGTGGTGTTGTTGTTGTTAAAGATTCGCTACCTGGAACAAAAAGTTCCAAGTAGCACGGGCTATGGTGAGCCCGTAATCTGTGGTGGTTTGGGTATGGCTTTCGTATTGTTGCTATCGCTGTCGTTATAGTGATAATGATGGGGGGCAGTATTGACTTCGCTGTGGTTAGGTTGGTATATTGGTGAGGTAATGTTTTGCTGTGGTACAGTTAGTAACCTCGGATGTTGTGGTAACGGGTCTGGTTTACCGTTAGTGTCTCTGTTGTAATGTTTTTGCAGTGTTAGTGTCCCCGGTTAAGTGTTAGAATCTCTGTTGTTGCGGTTTTGTCTTTGTTACGTTATTATTGTCTTTGTCGTAATGTTCGTGGTAGTGTCCGTGTTCCAGGGAGTTATTGTTTATGTCGTTCTGTTTGTGCCTCTGTGGCAGTGGTTCAAGTTCAGATATGTTTATTGAGACAAGAAAATACATCTCAAAGGAATAGAGAAATAGCTTAGGCTATTTCTACCTCCCTTTTTGGCAATGATGGCGTCGCTGGGTTAGTGTTAATGTCTCTGTGGCAGTTTTTTTTTATTATTATTTTCTACCACAGACGTGGCATATTGTTATTTGCTTAGCTAAACGAACTAGAGGGTTCAGTTCCTGAACCGATTATGTGCCTCTGTAATCCTTTACACCACCGCCCACGGGATGGGTATGGGGTGCATAATAAAAGACGTGGCCACACATTTACAATGCTAACCAGCATATATACATTTTCTTCTGCCCTCCATGGTGTTAGTGGACTCGTTTCATCCAGGTCATGTACTAATATTTTTAGGCAACGAGAGTCCATTAAAATATTCCGAAAAATATCTGGAACAATTTATGTTCCTTTAAGAGCCCACTTGTACATTTTGCTCATGTTATCAGAAACCTGAAAGTTTGAAGAAATGTTATCCAGAGGGAATTTAGTTACATAGATATGCCTGGTGGGAGATAACATTGCTTAATAGCCAATGTCTCATCTTGTATGAAGGTGAACTATGGGACTTACGAATTGCTGACCTTGGTATGTTCAATTGTGAATTACGGAAATGTTCTAGACTGATCTTAGGTGTTCATCTCCCCATTCACTGCAATATTCTGCCTCGCCTGATGCTCACAACCTACACTTGAAGAAATAGTTCACAAGCGAATGATATCCTTTTGTCTCAAGGGAACCATCCATCCATCCAGCAAACAGCTCAAGATTGTTGCAAGGATTCGCTTATCACTTGCTACTCAAACTTTACCAGAAATATCAACTTTGATTGTGAGGAAATTCAACTGTTCTGTATTCAACAGTACACCTACTATAACTGTAGCAGGTGTACAGGAAAGAATAAAACAACTAGTCGGCAGAGATAGCAAAGATACTCCAGCTGGATGTTTGGAATTATCAAAGATATACTGTTACATAGAGATGCTTGGCAAGCAATTAATACCCTGTTGTAGCATCAGATCAATGTTGCAACAGCTTTGTGGTCAGAGTAATTGTGATCCAGGCTGGCATCTGACTGCTTATGCAGAATGATAAGATTGTGAATTTTTGTGTAACATTGTTTCATAATTAGTGTGCAAGTTATATTTCAAATTGGATGCATCTTATTTGATCCATATTTTATACATTTCATCCATAGTAGCTTTGGGTTGTAATATCCAGTATCCAGCTGGAAGTATCCTTTCTATTCGTGCTACCTTGTTTTATTATCTCCAGTAGGCCTGCTACACCACTATACACGTCACTCATTCTTAAGTTGTGGTTTCTTAAAAAAGCAATTGCATATTTATGTCGTAGTTTGAGTGGCCATTGATTAGTGAATACCTGAAGAAAGAGCTTATGATGTTTGCTGGATGGGTGGTTCTTTTAAGACAAAAGGGTGGACTGATTTGTTAAGCAATGTGTTTAGATCAATGGCCCTGTGGTTGTCTGACGAAATAAATGCTTTACGTATGAATTCTTCCTAAAATGGCAGTCAGCTCCTATTGCTTTAACAATCACTTCTTGGAGCAGTCCAATTGTTTACTACTTTGTCAATGGAAAAATCCAACTGATGTCTGTGTGGCATCATTAGGGTACTCAGTTTCCACCTGTGTCCCCTTTTTGTTGTACCAACAATGCTGAATAGTTCGTCCTTATCTAGTATGAAGCTTCCCTGGAGAATACTGTATGGAGTAATCATGTCTCCCCCTGCTTTTCTTACATCCACATGCATGAAGTTTAATTCCTTTTGTCTATGCTCGTAGATCATACCTCTCAGCTCTGATACTAGTCTGCTGGCATAATTCTGAACTTTCTCCAACTTCGTTTTGTGTTTAACGAGATAATGACTCCTTGTCCTAGTGCTGCATATTCCAGAGCTGGTCTGACATATGTTACACGAGGTCTTGGGCGACTTCCTGTTTAGATGACTGATGATATTCGTTTAATATGTGCGTCCGGTAAGACGTTTTCCGTCCGATTCGAAGATGGTTTCCTCTCCTGCATAGTACCTTGTACTTGTGACTGAACTTCTGTTACCAGAACACAGCTTCATTACTTTACACTTACTTGAGTTAGGCCTCTTGTTGGAACATTCTTTAATTTGTCCCGATTAATCAGTAGTGTGTTGCTGTCTTCCATCGCATTTTTCGTCAAAATATTTTACATTATCAGCAAACATGATGAGGAATAAGATTATTCTCATTAGTAAGTTATTCACATTGATCAGGAACATAATTAACCCTAGTTTTCACCCTTGTGGGACACCGAAGGTATCATTCAATCACCCTGAGGTCTATTTCCCTCCCTAAGATTCTTTGTCATCTGGTCCAGATGTGTTCCCTTAGTCACTGAAGCAGTCTATGCTAATATTACCTGCTTCTCCGTTTTTTCCCTAAATCTCGTATGGGGCACTGTAACGAAATATTTATATAAGTCCTAAAAAACTACTATCTGGCCATTTTGATTTTGGTCGCCCAATAATGAACTCTTATTAAGTTTGTGAGCCAGGATTTGTTGTCGCAGATCCTAAATTGGATAAATTTAGATTTAGGAAAGACTTGGGTAAATACTGGTTCGGTAACAGGGTTGTTGATTTGTGGAACCAATTACCGCGTAACGTGGTGGAGGTGGGGTCCCTCGATTGTTTCAAGCGCGGGTTGGACAAGTATATGAGTGGGATTGGGTGGTTATAGATAGGAGCTGCCTCGTATGGGCCAATAGGCCTTCTGCAGTTGCCTTTGTTCTTATGTTCTATTCTATTAATCTTCTATTTGGTTCATTCTAATAGCCTATTCCATCACCTTGCAAGATATGCAATTTAAGAATACCGGCTTGTAGCCCTGTAGCTTAGAGCATCTTGTTTGTTTTCCACGTTGTAAAGAGGCCTACTTTGTCCATCTTCCAACTTTTTGGTAGCTCTCATACTTCCAGTGAATTGCTATATATTATATTAATTGGTTATCCCAAGACTTCTGCTCCTTTTTTCTTAATATTCCTGGTCTGGGCCCACCGCCTTAATAGTGACAAAATAATGCTTTCTTCATCTCTAATAATCTCAAGGTTCTTCGTTTCTTGTAAAACACCATCCATCTCTGCCAGGAACATCGTCTGGCAACACTGTGAGGATCATCTGTGGTAGCGTTAGTGAAGCTGTCGTAGTATTAGTGAAGCTGTTGTAGTGATAGTGAAGCTGTGGCAGTGTTAGTGAAGCTGTTGTAGTGATAGTGAAGCTGTGGCAGTGTTAGTGAAGCTGTGGTAGTGTTAGTGAAGCTGTGGTAGTGTTAGTGAAGCTGTTGTAGTGATAGTGAAGCTGTGGTAGTGTTAGTGAAGCTGTGGTAGTGTTAGTGAAGCTGTGGTAGTGTTAGTGAAGCTGTTGTAGTGATAGTGAAGCTGTGGTAGTGTTAGTGAAGCTGTGGTAGTGTTAGTGAAGCTGTGGCAGTGTTAGTGAAGCTGTGGTAGTGTTAGTGAAGCTGTGGCAGTGTTAGTGAAGCTGTGGTAGTGATAGTGAAGCTGTGGCAGTGTTAGTGAAGCTGTGGTAGTGTTAGTGAAGCTGTGGTAGTGTTAGTGAAGCTGTGGCAGTGTTAGTGAAGCTGTGGCAGTGTTGGTGAAGCTGTGGCAGTATTAATGAAGCTGTGGCAGTGTTAGTGAAGCTGTGGTAGTGTTAGTGAAGCTGTGGTAGTGTTAGTGAAGCTGTGGTAGTGATAGTGAAGCTGTGGCAGTGTTAGTGAAGCTGTGGTAGTGTTAGTGAAGCTGTGGCAGTGTTAGTGAAGCTGTGGTAGTGATAGTGAAGCTGTGGCAGTGTTAGTGAAGCTGTTGTAGTGATAGTGAAGCTGTGGCAGTGTTAGTGAAGCTGTGGTAGTGATAGTGAAGCTGTGGTAGTGTTAGTGAAGCTGTGGTAGTGATAGTGAAGCTGTGGTAGTGTTAGAGAAGCTGTGGTAGTGATAGTGAAGCTGTGGTAGTGTTAGTGAAGCTGTGGTAGTGTTAGTGAAGCTGTGGTAGTGTTGGTGAACCTGTGGTAGTATTAGTGAAGCTGTGGCTGTTTCGATGACATTTGTCACCTTTCCAGGTGTCTTTTTTATGTTAACGTAAAATAATTAGTACTTGTCTATCTTGTCTATTATTTTAAGGATCTTAAAACCTGCCCTCGTAGCTGTGATCGCATCTTCCTTCCAGTATGAGGAGCTGTGAGTGACTGTCCATGCCAGTTCCGGTATCTTTATCTAGAGAAGTATCTTTGTTTTCAAGGCGTTTGTAGTACCATTTGGTACACGTGGCGTTTGGGTCATTATGTAAATTACCAGCATGGGGTCAGTGTTATTCAACACTCTGGAACAACACTGGCACTCTCCACACGCTCTGGAACAACACTGGCACTCTCCACATACCCTGGAACAACACTGGCACTCTCCGCACACTCTGGAACATCACTGGCACTCTCCACACACTCTGGAACAACACTGGCACTCTCCACACACTCTGGAACAACACTTGCATTCTCCACACACTCTGGAACAACACTGGCACTCTCCGCACACTCTGGAACATCACTGGCATTCTCCACACACTCTGGAACAACACTGACACTCTCCACACACTCTGGAACAACACTGACACTCTCCACACACTCTGGAACATCACTGGCACTCTCCACACACTCTGGAACAACACTGGCACTCTCCACACACTCTGGAACAACACTTGCATTCTCCACACACTCTGGAACAACACTGACACTCTCCACACACTCTGGAACAACACTTGCATTCTCCACACACTCTGGAACAACACTGACACTCTCCATACACTCTGGAACAACACTGACACTCTCCATACATTCTGGAACAACACTGACACTCTCCATACACTCTGGAACATCACTAGCACTCTCCACACACTCTGGAACAACACTGGCACTCTCCACACACTCTGGAACAACACTGACACTCTCCACACACTCTGGAACAATACTGGCGCTCTCCACACACTCTGGAACAACACTGGCACTCTCCACACACTCTGGAACAATACTGGCGCTCTCCACACACTCTGGAACAATACTGGCGCTCTCCACACACTCTGGAACAATATCCCAAATATATATGGTAACGCTGTTATTAATTATGCAAAATAAGACAATATAAATGGGACAATGATAATGGAACAATATTAATATGTTAATGGAAAATGGCATTTAATATTTCAATATGAAAGCAAACCTATAACTTGATGCCAATTTTTGTTGTTGTGGTGGAAGGCAAATCAGCGCTTCTGAAAAATTTCACTCAATTTAGTTTTAATAAACAAAAGGTTAAACTGTCTTAATATACTTAATCTAAGCAAACAAAGCAAGATCTACCCTATATAGTCCAACCTAGTTTAAACAAAACTACATATGATATTAACCTAACCTAACTTACTCTAAACTACATATTATATCTAACCTAACCTAACCTAGTCTAAAATACATATTTTATCTAACCTAACCTAATCTAGTCTTAAACTACATATATCTAACCTAACGTAATCTAAACTACATATATCTAACCTAACGTAATCTAAACTACATATTATAGCTAACCTAACCTAGATTAAACTACATATTTTTTCTAACCTAACCTAGTCTAAAGAATATATTTTGTCTAACCTAACTTAACCAAACGTAGTTTAAACGACATATTTTTATCCAACCTAACATAACCTAGTTTAAACTGCATGTTTTATCTAACCTAACCTAAACTACATATTATATCTAATCTAACCTAACAGTACCTGACCCAGCTTAACAACACGTGACCTAACCTAACCTAACCAAAAGAAGCCTAAGTATACTAGCGTCATACTCTGTAGTCGTCCAGAATAGGTAACATGAATACAAGTGTGTTCAATGTAACTAAGAATAAATTTAACTAAGCTCTGAAATACAGTTTGGAACAAAACAAGTATAAACACTTTATACACTTTAAGAACTTTCTTGCATACTTCATTTGTTGTGAGATATGGTTGAATAATGATGTCAGTTATTTAATTAATTACGTTCTTTATTCTTCGATGATGTCAGTGCCAGAGTTTGGTAGTATAAATATTTGACAGTAAAGATATATATATGCTGTAATGTAAATTGAATGCATACAAAAATGTAATTTATAAATTACAAGAATTTTTTCTGTGCGCTGACACCCTACATGGCTTTAACACACATACACGATGTTTGCACTCATTATTTCTGTCTGTTTCTCTCTGTATGTTTGTCTCTCGATCTCTGTCTCCTGCTCTTTCTTTGTATCTCTCTCTCTCTCTCTCTCTTGCACTTTATTTGTATCTCTCTCTCTCTCTCTCTCTCTCTCTCTCTCTCTCTCTCTCTCTCTCTCTCTCTCTCTCTCTCTCTCTCTCTCTCTCTCTCTCTCTCTCTCTCTCTCTCTCATTCTCTCTCTCTCTCCCTGCCCCCACCCTCTTCCTTGCTTTCATATCATCCCCTCTCTATCTAATACTATCCCCTTTCTCCCCCTTTCCTTCCCTTTCTTCCACCCTCTCAGCTCTTCCCTTCCCCCACTCCTTCCCACCGTTTATCCATCTCTCTTCCCCCGCCTCGTCCCCTTGTAGCACGCCTCTCCTCCTCCCACCACCCCTCACCCCAACCCCTCTCCTCAATAACGTTCTCTGCCTGTATTGATCCTTGTCCCCAACCCTTCCTCCTGTCCAATAGATTTTTATATTTTATTTCCTCTTTCGAAAATACACGATAACGCTGATAACGGGAAAATGCAGCACTATTAGCGGTGATGCTGATTAAAGCAGTAACTAGGTGATAACAACTAGATGTGTACTAGCTATTACAATGGGATGACAGACGCAGTTGATGATGATTGGGATGATACATAGTTATTGACTCTGCTACGATGTAAATATTGTATAGTGAAAACAGTCAAAAAAAGGCTGAAATTTGAATTAGAAATCATAACCAGAAAACGTTACATTAGATAATTCTTTCATTGCCAGATTACATAGTTTATCCATAGCCAGGTTGCATTGGTTACATTATTTGAAGTTTATACATAGGTTTCTTTAGTTACATTGCTTAATTAATCCATAGCGTGGTTACATTGGCTGCATAACACTACATAATTAATCCATAGCCTAGTTGCATTGGCAACATAACATTACAATTTACCCATAGGCAGGTTACAACAGTTACATAACATTACATGGTTTATCCTTAGCCTGGGTTACATAACACTACATAGTTTATCCATTGCCAGCTTACATTGGCTACAAGACATACAGTTGAACCATGAAGACTAAACCATACACCAGAAGGTGTATGGTTTGATATAGTCCGTCTATGATATAGACGGACGACGTTTGGGTCCGCCCTGGACCATTATCAAGTCCATTGTGGTGTGTGTTGTGTGGTTCAGTCATCATATCATCATCCACGTAAGGCACTATGGGCTCACCATAGCCTGTGCTACTTGGAACTTTGTTCCTGGTAGCAAATCTTTAACAACAACATCAACCACGTTATTGTGACTCATCGTCCAGTGTCGCCATAGTCAGGTTACATAACATTACAGTTTATCCACAGCCGGGTTGCGTTACGTTACAATTTATCCCATAGTTTATCTAAAATGTTTCCTTACAGAATTTATCCTTTGCCAGTCCGCAACTTAGTCTGCGGACTGGTAAGATATGCATAATATTGTCGTTGATATATTAAAGTATTATGATATAGTCGCTTTTATTATGGCAAGCATCATTCTTATGAAAATAATATACAAGTTTGTATTATAACATATAAAGATGGTATGATGTTATCATAGTCTCTGTTATTACTTACAGTAGCGTTTTTATAGTACTGTTAGTGGCATAATGATTTATGCCCCGTCAGGGGTATATTCCCTGAGTGGTTTACCCTGGTGCATTATTTATATACTCGGAGTTTACCTTAGTCCTGGATAATGTCCAGGACTAAAGTATACTTGCTGGTTGGTCGGTAAGCACTTGTGGTGGCCTGAATAACCCTGCTGGGGTTCACGCCAACACCACCACCGCTTAAGCTAGTCCTATAAAAACCTAGTAGATGATATCATCTACTAGTCCTAGTAGATGATATTATAACCTTACACTTGTAATTGATAATATATTCAATAATAGGGCGTATATTTTGTTTATTATTTTTAAAAATATTCACTAATTATAATAAGCTTCCTATCAGAAAACTGCGGTTTATCGTGGAATCAGAATATATACTGTCAAGGAAGACCTTAAATTTTTCCATATTATATCCTGCCTAATGATGCAATTTTACTCTTGATCAGTATAACCAATATTTTTTCCCTTTCTTTTGTTAACAATATACTGGAACATTTGATCCTATATCCTGCTAATGTTTATCTTATATAACGTATGCTTTTTTTTTTTTATCCATGTTCATGTGTATTATAAGATTACTCGGTATATCTTAAATCCTGTTCAAGATGAGCGCATTTCCAGGCCAAGTTGTATATTGTATTCCTTAAAAGTAATTCTCTTCGTGTTCTCATTATTTTATTTCTGGGTTTAGTATCACTTGGTGCTTGGGAAACCTGATATCGTGCTCGAGTATTCAATATATTCTGGTGCAGTATACCTTATTCAGGTTAACCTTATACGGTCTCATACCCACTGATCTTATACCCACTCGTAGGATACACATACGGCCTTTGTCTTCTCTTAATATTTACTGCATTTCTAAATATATAATTTATTAGCTGATCTAAAGTTACAATATGAGTGGTTAATATATTCTGTGTCATTCATTATGTTATGCCCTGACATAATATCCTAGATTGTCTACAAGCACTTAGAAACGACATTAAAGATTGTTTGTGATTTTCTTTTGTTTCCTGGTCTATTGTATTCTCTTATATTGCCCGTTCATCTGTGTATCCTCTTTACTCTGTTATTTTGCTCCTTATATCCTTCTGGGAGGAGAAGTGTGCTATATTAATGTACATAGATAGATACCATAGCAGGCTGGGTACGCTAGCATACCTGAACATACTGATGCATAATATAAAGAAAGGAAAGATATATTATGTTATACATAATATATCATATATACATAATTTATAGGAAAGTTTTGTACATAATATATAGGAAAGTTTTGTACATAATATATAGGAAAGATGTATGTGATACAACATACTGTACCCGTGTTATAACGAATTTGGCTTTATATTGTGGATAATATATTAGCTATATCTATATATGGTGTTGAAGGTATATCCTTCCCTCAGATAGTGAGTTTGTATGTGATATTTGGTATATTTAATTAATTGGTTGTGTTTATATTTGATGTTGACGCAGTGTGAAACCTTCACCTGTTTAACTATGCGCCCGCGATCTCGGTGGCGTTCTCTCAATTGTGTTCCAGCGATCTCTTTGGCGTTCTCTCAATTGTGTTCCAGCGATCTCTTTAGCGTTCTCTCAATTGTGTTCCAGCGATCTCTTTGGCGTTCTCTCAATTGTGTTCCAGCGATCTCTTTAGCGTTCTCTCAATTGTGTTCCAGCGATCTCTTTGGCGTTCTCTCAATTGTGTTCCAGCGATCTCTTTGGCGTTCTCTCAATTGTGTTCCAGCGATCTCTTTGGCGTTCTCTCAATTGTGTTCCAGCGATCTCTTTGGCGTTCTCTCAATTGTGTTCCAGCGATCTCGGTGGCGTTCTCACAATTGTGTTCCAGCGATCTCGGTGGCGTTCTCTCAATTGTGTTCCAGCGATCTCGGTGGCGTTCTCTCAATTGTGTTCCAGCGATCTCGGTGGCGTTCTCACAATTGTGTTCTAGCGATCTCGGTGGCGTTCTTTCAATTGTGTTCCAGCGATCTCGGTGGCGTTCTCACAATTGTGTTCTAGCGATCTTGGTGGCGTTCTCTCAATTGTGTTCCAGCGATCTCGGTGGCGTTCTCTCAATTGTGTTCCAGCGATCTCGGTGGCGTTCTCTCAATTGTGTTCCAGCGATCTCGGTGGCGTTCTCTCAATTGTGTTCCAGCGATCTCGGTGGCGTTCTTTCAATTGTTTTCCAGCGATCTTGGTGGCGTTCTCACAATTGTGTTCTAGCGATCTCGGTGGCGTTCTCTCAATTGTGTTCCAGCGATCTCGGTGGCGTTCTTCAATTGTGTTCCAGCGATCTCGGTGGCGTTCTCACAATTGTGTTCCAGCGATCTCGGTGGCGTTCTCACAATTGTGTTCTAGCGATCTTGGTGGCGTTCTCACTATTGCCAATCAGCGATTAGTCGCGTTCTCACAATTTTGTAACAACGACCGGTAGTGCTCTAAAGAATTAGTTGTACTGTTTTCAGTAATTATAAATGAGGAAAATCAATAAAAAAATTACAGTGAACGAAATCACAAAATATGTAATTAAATTATAATTATCCATATGATTCTTGTATAACTGTTCCGCAGTCTTAGGGTAGTAATCAGGAACTGCTTTTATAGCGAAAAAAAGATGTTATTAGATTTATGTGCACAGCCACTAGATTAATTTTTTAAATAAATAAATAATAATCGAATAAAATTTGTTCACATACACAATTAGTATAATGTTTGGGTAAAGTATAGTATTACGAGTATTTCAATACAATAAAGGAAAATAAATGTTTAGCCATCCATGCTAAATATATTATAGGTTTTCTACAGTCCATGCTGGTGTTGTGGTAGTACTTATAGTAAGGATGAGGACCATAGTATATATACCGACGTACAACGACATTAGAAAGTAGAAATCTGAACTATTGAGTTGGACAAACCCGAAAACTATTTTTTACTTGTGTTGCTTTGACAAACTAACCTAATCTAACCTCCCTAGGCCTAATACACGATATATGAGGCCTAATATAGTACATATGTGTACTATACTAGGCCTAGCAATATTTAAGTTTTTTAGCTTTAGTTATAAATAATTCCTTACTAGTCAGTAGACTACTATCTAAAAGCTTAGTACATACGAATTCGTGACTATGGACGATAGTCTCAATAACTGCTATCTTAACAGGAGGATGGATTGCAAAACCCAGCAATCAACTGAATGGAGTTATTTTAACTATATTTCAATTGTAGGCCACACACACACATACATGGCTGCTACATCAAGTATTTACATACTTAAAGTATGCTAATTAGCACCTAAGAAGGTGATCATACTTGAGTTGCAACGTGAATGCAACACTTCCTTAGCAAGAACAATGTTATACCAAAAAATACAATATTAGTTTACAATGTATAATGAGGAATACATTTAAAGCAATAGTAATATGACAAGACAGATAAAGAGATGATACAAGGTACAACGGAAATGTGTCATAGTAATGGTTTCCCCCATTGTCGGGGACAGGCAGCCTGTTGGTTCATCGAGGTTTCCCCATTGTCGGGGACAGGCAGCCTGTTGGTTCATCGAGGTTTCCCCATTGTCGGGGACAGGCAGCCTGTTGGTTCATCGAGGTTTCCCCCATTGTCGGGGACAGGGAGCCTGTTGGTTCATCGAGGTTTCCCCCATTGTCGGGGACAGGGAGCCTGTTGGTTCATCGAGGTTTCCCCATTGTCGGGGACAGGGAGCCTGTTGGTTCATCGAGGTTTCCCCATTGTCGGGGACAGGGAGCCTGTTGGTTCATGTTTCCCCCATTGTCGGGGACAGGCAGCCTGTTGGTTCATCGAGGTTTCCCCCATTGTCGGGGACAGGGAGCCTGTTGGTTCATCGAGGTTTCCCCCATTGTCGGGGACAGGCAGCCTGTTGGTTCATCGAGGTTTCCCCCATTGTCGGGGACAGGCAGCCTGTTGGTTCATCGAGGTTTCCCCCATTGTCGGGGACAGGCAGCCTGTTGGTTCATCGAGGTTTCCCCCATTGTCGGGGACAGGGAGCCTGTTGGTTCATCGAGGTTTCCCCCATTGTCGGGGACAGGGAGCCTGTTGGTTCATCGAGGTTTCCCCCATTGTCGGGGACAGGGAGCCTGTTGGTTCATCGAGGTTTCCCCCATTGTCGGGGACAGGGAGCCTGTTGGTTCATCGAGGTTTCCCCATTGTCGGGGACAGGCAGCCTGTTGGTTCATCGAGGTTTCCCCCATTGTCGGGGACAGGGAGCCTGTTGGTTCATCGAGGTTTCCCCATTGTCGGGGACAGACAGCCTGTTGGTTCATCGAGGTTTCCCCCATTGTCGGGGACAGGCAGCCTGTTGGTTCATCGAGGTTTCCCCATTGTCGGGGACAGGCAGCCTGTTGGTTCATCGAGGTTTCCCCCATTGTCGGGGACAGGTAGCCTGTTGGTTCATCGAGGTTTCCCCCATTGTCGGGGACAGGCAGCCTGTTGGTTCATCGAGGTTTCCCCATTGTCGGGGACAGGCAGCCTGTTGGTTCATCGAGGTTTCCCCATTGTCGGGGACAGGGAGCCTGTTGGTTCATCGAGGTTTCCCCCATTGTCGGGGACAGGGAGCCTGTTGGTTCATCGAGGTTTCCCCCATTGTCGGGGACAGGGAGCCTGTTGGTTCATCGAGGTTTCCCCATTGTCGGGGACAGGCAGCCTGTTGGTTCATCGAGGTTTCCCCCATTGTCGGGGACAGGGAGCCTGTTGGTTCATCGAGGTTTCCCCCATTGTCGGGGACAGGGAGCCTGTTGGTTCATCGAGGTTTCCCCATTGTCGGGGACAGGGAGCCTGTTGGTTCATCGAGGTTTCCCCATTGTCGGGGACAGGGAGCCTGTTGGTTCATCGAGGTTTCCCCATTGTCGGGGACAGGGAGCCTGTTGGTTCATCGAGGTTTCCCCATTGTCGGGGACAGGGAGCCTGTTGGTTCATCGAGCTTTTCCTAGGTCAAGGAGTAACCATTCTCAGAATACAGTTGTCAAACTCCCAGATAATTATTTACTGTATCAGACGTAAGAGAACATGTTCAAACGCCTCGTCCCTGAGAACAACGTAACACCTTATTTATTATTAACATCTTTATTGACAAAATTAATTACAATTTTGCCTAATCTGAGGATTTCGATTAAGACTTATTAAAGTGTGGATAATGCTGGTATTCACTGTCACGCAGGACAGAGGGTCATACACAAGACAATAAGTCTAAACTGTAGGCGGAAGCACAGCACATGGTTACAATTAATGTTTTAATGTATGGATATGTGAAAGCAACTTTCTATTGTGCACTGCCACACAAGGGCAGGGATAGGTTCATAAGAGATGCAGCTTAGAAGTAATATATATCAAAATTGTTCTCCATTCTTTAAAATGGACAAGCAAATTTTGGATAAATTGTTAGGATGTCGTTCAGAACACCTGAGTCAATGAAATAGTTACACAGTTGGTGGTACAATAGGCCAGGAGGTCTAAAGTCTTTTACGGTTTCACATTCAACAATATAGTGTTTTAGTGAATGCATTAAAGGTTTATCATAGAGTTTACAATCTGAGTGTTCTGGTAGTGGCTCAGCCTCACTAACCTGCCAGATGTGCCTATAGCCAAGGCGAATTACCGCAATGACTACATCACATTGCCTGGTCCGGTTACTGTGCTGACCATACAAATACCTATTATTACAAAACTTGTCATAGCTTTTAATACTGCAGCTTTCAGGTCTCTGGGCATTTCTTAGTTCTTCTAAATCTGAATTCATTTCTTTAATTTGTCTGTTTCTAATAATTGCATTAGATAGTCCAAAGTCATAATCAGTGTTTTCTTTCCTGCAGCCTCATTGGCCAATCAATCTACAAAGTCATGTTTTCCAACTCCAACATGGGATGGGATCCACACAAGTTTTATACAATAGTTATTATCATTGACAAAAATTACATTCCATTTAATATTACAAGCTACTTCAGACATACATTGTGATGGGTTATTTAATTAAGGACTGCAGAGCACTTTTAGAGTCACAGAAAATAACTCCACCACCATTGAGCTTAAGGTACTCAGTGGCTAGATAAATACCCAATAGCTCGGTCTGTGTCGTGCTTGCCCAGTCGTTCAATCTCTGTGTACTAGATATGATCATTTCATTCCCTTTATATACTGC